CTTACTTGTAATTTGAATATCTGACTCTTGGCTGTGTAATTTAGGAAAGTTAGTGCATATTAGAGTGGAGTGGAACCTTGAAATTATTTAAACCAGCTTTTTTCCTTTATAGGTGAGGAGTGATGCCAAAAGACGTTGTGTACAGAGCATACATGAAAAAAAAAATCTAGGCCAGGCATGGTGGCTCACGACTGTAATTACAACACTTTGGGAGACAGAGGTGGAGGGATCACCTGAGGTCAGGAGTTTGAGACCAGCCTGGCCAAAATGATGAAACCCCGTCTGTATTAAAAATACAAAAAATTAGCTGGGCATGGTGGTGGGCACCTGTAATCCCAACTACTCGGGAGACTGAGGTAGGAGAATCGCTTGACCCCGGGAGGTGGAGGTGGCAGTGAGCCGAGATCACGCCATTGCACTCCAGCCTGGACAACAAGAGCAAAACTTGATTTAAAAAAAAATTGGCAAAAAATAAAATGCAGGTTTCTTGATTTCTAAGACTTTGCCCTTTCCATACATCATTTTAAATTGTAAGTATACACACACTCGCAAATACACATACATACATATGCAATTATTCATGTAATCATCTATAGGTATACATGTTCACACAAATTTGAAGTAATATCCACGTCTAATATCTCGATGTATCTCTATATAATATATTGCAATCTTTTTTTAAAAAAAGCGTAAGCTCCTTGAGAGCAGATATTACAGCATATGCGTAAATTTCTTCCCCTCAAAACATTATTATGGGCGCTGCGCGCAGATAGGTGCCTTATGAAATATGTTAAACAGAATTCAATTAGACAAATTATTACACAACAACCGCCGTGAATCCGGGCCGGGCTTTGGCCCTTTCCCTGTTCAGGAGAAAGGCAGGTGAGTGAGTCCACTCCAGCTCCTCGCCGGGGTTTGGGGGCGCCGCGGAGCCGCGGAGCCGGTTCCCTAGGAGGTTCCGGTGGCGGGAGCCGAGGTTTCGCCCCTTTGGATTTTCCAGCAAGTACTTCTCAGAGCGTGGCGGAGTCTCCCGCGACATGCTCAGTTCAGGTCAGCCAGGCGGCGGAACTGAGGAGGCAGATTGAGGGGGTGGGAGGTGGCGTAGAACGAACACTGGGACTCGGGCCGACGACCTTTTGGTCCCTGGAGGCGAGAGAGTGTAATCAGAAGCCCTGCTCAGGAGCGCCTGTTGCCGGGCAACCTGCCGACGCGGGCCTGGACGGTCCAGACTCTTCTGTCTGAAACTTTCTGAAGACGGTTTTTGGAGGAATCGCGCTAGTTTATACCTTTTCCAGCCCTCCTAACTCTGGACCTGTTCTTATCGAGCTTGTTAGGTGAAATCAGCCTGGCTGTCTCTTGTGCCCCGAGCCTGTCCTGTCCAGGAATCCCAGATAGGTAGGGGATGGGGAATTCCTTCTGCGACACTGCAGGTGCTCTGAAGTATAATTTAATTTGGGGGCCAGGGGAGTGATGTGGTGAAAGGAGGATTACTCTGTTTTGTTTGAAATTAGGAATGACCTAAAATTCAATTTAGATTCTGGGTCTGTGGCCGCCTCGGATCCAACATAGATTTGGTCCCTGCCTTCATGTAGCTTAAATATAAATTGTATTTACAGATCTCTTCCTTTTTTCCTTATTTATGAGCTAAACTAAATCAGTTTATTATTTGCTTTCCATTTTGTTCTGATTTGGTATAAGTAACATAATAACCGGTAATATTACTACCAAGAGAGAGGTGATCATCATTGGAATCGGAAATAGTCATTCTTAAAAAAAATGAGAGGCCGGGCGCGGTGGCTCAAGCCTGTAATCCCAGCACTTTGGGAGGCCGAGGCGGGTGGATCACGAGGTCAAGAGATCGAGACCATCCTGGTCAACATGGTGAAACCCCGTCTCTACTAAAAATACAAAAAAAAAATTAGCTGGGCATGGTGGCGCGTGCCTGTAGTCCCAGCTACTCAGGAGGCTGAGGCAGGAGAATTGCCTGAACCCAGGAGGCGGAGGTTGCGATGAGCCGAGATCGCGCCATTGCACTCCAGCCTGGGTAACGAGAGCGAAACTCCGTCTCAAAAAAAAAAAAAAAAAAAAGAATGACATGGGAAGTGTGTTCAGCTATTTTTGGTAGCACTAAAGACATTAGCCAACAGTGTTTATTGTATGCCAGCAATGTCATCTCATGACTTGCAGCTATTTGAGTGGGGACAGAAGCCATTCAGAAGTGCTATCCCTTCCTTTTGCTACTCCCTATCTCCAACATAGCCCAGCTGGATATTCAGTGCTTTATGACAAAGACAACCTTTGACATAGGTTCGCTCACAGTCATTTATTTGGAATGCTCACTCTTGTGCCACCAAGTTTAGATTTCTAATTCTTCAGTCCCTACACCAATTCCCCTCTGATTCTTTTATTACCTGTACCATTGAGAGTGTAGTACTGAAAAGAGATCTGAAACCCACGTGTGAATTTGGATCTGCAATAACTGGCAAACCATTTGGCAACGTACAATTCACATTTCTGGGTCTCAGCTGGCTCAGTTTGAAAATCAGAAGGTTGGGCTGTTTTTGTCTTTGAAGCCCTGTCAAAATCTTAAAATTATCTACATAGGGTGTCAGTTGCCTGACTGCTCTAATTCGATAGATCCGGAAGTGTTCCAGATATGACGGCATTGCCCTTTGAATACTTTTACTATATCTAAGTTAACCACTTTTATGTTATGTCATTTTGAATTAACTGACTTCACTTATTTAACAAATATATGTTAAGTTCCTACTACATTGAGGGTCTTCTAAATCCTGAGACATAGGATGAGCAAATATGAGGTGTACAGTGTAGCATTAAAGACTAATAGCTGTAATGCAACGGTTTAAAGATTTTATCTAATTGTTTGAAGACAGAATTTATATATTGACATTGTGATTATGTTACAATTAGATGCAGAAATAAAAGGAATCTAAGAATATGTATAAAGTATATACATGTATTTTACATTAATTTACTTATTGACTAAATATTTACTACCTGTGCTTTATTAAGGGAAGAAGACACCAACTATGGTGGCCTTGACAGTTTATTAGGGAAATGAAAATCTAATGACAGTGAAGAGTGAAGACTGTCATAACTGGGGAAGTACAGGAACTGGGAGGATATGGGCATTTGAGGATTTAAATGTTGATGCTTTTTAAATTTGCAAATAAAGTATACTGATTTGAAATGACCTATAGTGATTCGAAATAGCTATAACTGTTACGAGGATATAAATAATTGAGAGACTGATATGTGGAGAAAATTGTTTTCCTGATTCGTCAGCATTTTTATCTCAACTTGGGTTGGTTAGCCAGGAATCATTATCGCAAATACAATAATTTGTGTGATTAAACAACCAACCCACCTCTGGCTTCCAAAACAAAACAATAGGAACTTTTAAAGGTTGCATCTTTGTAAAAAATAGTTCTGGAAAGAAAGCCATCTGCAGTGCTATAGGAGAATTTCTGAATCTAATGATTTGTATTTTTTTTTTTTTCAGAATATGTTTACTATTGGTTGATAAGTCTTCTTGACTTGACTTAGAGTGGAATTCCAGGCTTACGGCAAGGGATTTTTAGAGGAAGAGCCTCTAGGGATGGGGTGAAGGGAACCATGTAGATAAGTTAGTAAGGAACTGGTATATTTTTCAGGTAAGATTTCATTGGGATGAAAAAAAAGTATATTTTAATAATAATGAATGATAGTTACCATTTATTGAATGTTATTCCAACAGGAAGAGAAAAGTACTGACATTAAATTCATTTTACATATTATATAGAAACATTGGTTCCTAGAGATTTTTTACTCGAACTTAAATTATGGGTAAGTGGCAAAAATCAGGATTACAATGTATGTCTGTCCAATTCCAAGCTGTCAGGATGCCATGCTATCTTTCCTTTAAAAAACAAAACAAAAATGATTTACTATTAAAAGAAATCCAAGACTATAGAAAAAGAAAGTATGAATAAATCTTTAAATGTAAAATTATCCTCGGTAATATAAAGGTGAAGTATAAAATTTATAAAATTTCAATGACATATATTCATTTGATTTTTATTTTGTACATATTTGCAGCTTAATTACTTTCAACAAACTTTTGTAAGCATTTTTGCCAATCATCACATTATTACTAATTGGACCACTTACTTCATTTTGTTCTTTGTTCTAGAAGAAGAACACTGCTTGTTAAAAGTATTTTTATCAGCCTACTCTGGCAAAACCAAAACTCATAAAGTTTTGGGAAATGAGTAAAGGAAATAAATGTATATCTCATGGTGGTAGTAGAGAAGAGAGAGATGCATTAGTTCTCTATTGCTGTCAAAAAATTTTAAAACTTAGTGGGTAACATAAATTCTTTTTAGTTCTGGATATCAGATGTACAACATTAACCTTAAGGGGCTAAAATCAAGCTGTCAATAGGGTGAGTTCTTTCTGGAAGCTCCAGAAGAGAATCCATTCCTTGCCTCTTCTGCCTTCTGGAGGCTGCTCATGACCTCTTCTTCCCCCATCTTCAGATCCAGAGGCTTTGCATTTTCACCCAGGTCTGACCTATGCTTCCATCCTTACATCTTCTCTGTCTCACTCTGTTCTTCCTGCTTCCCTCTTACAAGGATTCTGGTGGTTACGCTGAGCCCACCAGTGAATCCAGGATAATCTCCTCATGTTAAAATTCTTATTTCAATCACATCTGAAGTCCCTTTTTGCCATGTAAGGTGGTATATTTACAGGGTCTGAGGATTAAGACATAGCCTTCTTTGGGAGCCCATTATTCATACGAACACAGGGCATAATGTATTTGCCCTACAAAAGTTGATATTGGTGAAAGCACTAAAAGTGATTAACCATATGATTTATTTCCAGGTAACCTTATTAGGTAATTTGTATGACTTATTTAAAATTAGAGTAAGAATTATCATTTAACATTTACTCTATCTGTTTCAAAGTATACTGCATGATAAATATATGAACTTGAATGAATGGAGTTAGAGGTTAAAGGAGTTGCTGCTGCTTCTAGGAGCCAAATTCAGCCATTCTTTGGAAGAAAGAAGCCACTACAAGTATGTGAACTATATAATTTTCTTTCAGGATGACTCATTAAATAATTTTTTGACCTCTTCTTCATGTTTTATGACTACTTACATTCACAAATATTTAGGATCAACATTTCCTAGATTTGAAAAATGGAACCACCAAAATTTAAGATAATAATTACTTGAAAATTTGCTATTGCTTGATTTTGTTTTATTTTTAAAAATTAAACTTATTATGTTATTATTGTTTAAAAATATCTGTTTGTTTAAAGAAAATATATGAAAAAAAGAAAAATAGCATAATGTAATTTTACGGTTGCTATCAGTACCACGAAAAAGGCACAAGTCAGATAACATTTCAGAAATAGGATGTAAGTGCTGATGGGTGAATTATTTTCCATTTTTATTAACTTGAAGTTTTCCTAAGACTCATTTATATCTTCTATTTCATGGTGGCTAAGCTTGTTGTAATTTTCATGCCTTGTACAGCTTTTTGGCAAAAAGATTGAACGGTAAACATATGCATATGTTTGTTACTTTCTTTTTCAAACCCTACACTGTATTCCATTACCTTAATAACAAGGCCTAAGTTTCCAAACGTCTACTATAATGTAACAGGTTGGCCCTACCTCCTCACACTCTGGATTTTACCCCTTTCCAAATGCTAACTCTTGTCTGGAGGCCTGTGCAGCACAAGTTGTTTCCTAGCTGAACCAATTTTCTTTCTTCTCTTTTCATCTGGCTAACTCCTCCTCATCTTTCTGAACTCCTATTAAAGATTGCCTTAAGAAAAAAAAAATCAAGCTTTCTAAATTTCCTAGAGTAGGTTGGGCATGCTTCTATGTAGTTACTCTGTTATTGACTTATTTTTTCCATTATTGTTTATTTGAGAGAAAGTCTTCTCAAGCAGAGTGCTATTATTTCTCTTGCTTGCCTCATTGTGTATCTCTTAAAGTAAAAAGGGTATGTTTATATTCATGCAGATTCAAAAAAATTTTTTTTAAATTAAAGCAAAGGTGGACTTCTGAATCATGGACAAACCAGAATTCTTGCCCACCAGTGTAAGTTACATTTCTTCACATTTGGACTGTTTAATGGGCATATATATATCATACATCGACTAGTTAAAAAGAGAAAGCAAAATTATGTATGTAGCTATGATTGTGAACCACAGAAAAATTTATATGCATATGGATAGCCTGAAAAATTACTATACTAAAATTAAAATAGCTTTAGTGATAAGACAGTAGAATTATAGGTAAAAGTTCTTTGGATTTTTTAAAAAATATGTTTTATATTTTCCTGAAAAAGTGAAAATATTTCGTTATTTGGATAATTTAGCTATATGCATTTATTAAAGAGATATGTAAATTTTCATCCTTTTATAATTCATATAGTTAAATTTAAGGATAATTATGTTTGTGCTTTAATTTTGAGGAATATTACAGTTTTGTCAATCTTAAAATCATTTTATTTTTGGTTTAGAATATATTAATTTATGTTTTATATGTTATTTTGACTTTTAAAATTTAGAATAATATGATTTTTATATTCTCTCAAGTATTTTAGATTACAGAGCTTCTTTAAAAATAGAAATTAAAAACTTAGTAATTTACTAGGCTGAACCACACAATATTGACATTTCTGAAGATCAAAATTAATAAACATCAACATTTATGTGGTTCTATGTGATAGATTACATGCATGCTCATTTTGACATAAAAAATAGAGTTAGATGCAAGCACTAGATTCAAGATACTGAGTATGTAACAATGGCTGTGTCAGTTGTGTGCAGAGAAATGTTTAAGGACTGGTTTTCTGAAAGTGTATTATAAGTTTATTGTAAATTTTACTTCTTTATTATAAAGAAATTTAGGCATGTATTAAGTTGATTATAGCTTTTACTGATATAAAGGATGTGTAGCAATCAATTTACAAATACTAACCAAATATGCACAGTCTCTCTTGTAGATTCCATATAACCAATAGATTTTCACAGAATTGTCTCTCTCTCTCTCTCTTTTTTTTTTTTTTTTTTTTTGGCTGAACTCTGTATCTCTAACTAACCTATGGTGCAATTGATGAACTAGTGTAGTTCCAACATGAATATTGGTTAATATTTTTATTTACTTTAAAGTTACATGAGTGATTTCTTTGCTGAGTCAAATAATAGTTTTGAATACAAAATCATGTTTCTTCAGTGTATTTTGGGGCTATTCACTGTGTGACAGCTATAGACATCATATAATTTTAGGTTGAATCTGCATTATTAACATTTTCTCCATGACTTTTTAAAGTTTCAGAAATCAACAAAATGTTAAACCAAGCCCTGATTCATAGCATTTGTCAATTTCAGTGTAAATGATCCCACCAAGGCTGATTTCAGTGTACCTATATAACATCACTGAGTACAGAATTGAAAAGAGATGCACACTATAACACTTTCTCTTTTCATAGAGATAGGCTAGACATAGATAATCTCTAGAGCACAGATAATAGTGAAGTACAGTGAAATCATCAGGAAGTGATGAGTTTTAAGTATTTAGTTTTTAATACAATTTAATAAATTTTTATGTATTTTTAATGATGAATGTGTTTAACGACCAGTTTGAAAAATTACTGAACATTTAACAAAACCCTATCACAAGCCAGTAGAAGCCATGCACCATTGGTTTCAGTGTACCTATTTATAAAATATGTAACATGTAAGATTTGCAGTGATTAAAGTTTCATGTTAAAAAGTTATGGGATACATAGGTTATTTTTTTCAGGGTCCCACGACTTGATTTGGGAAGCCTTGTTGACTCTGATGAGGTAATTTTTATTTTTTATTTAATATAATAAACATTAAAACAATATCACACATAGCATATAAGAAGTATCATTAATTTTATTTTTCAGGATAATTTTTCATATATTCCACTGAGTACAGCAGACCCACAAAATTCATCTTCTACTGTTGGTTGGATCACACCATATCAAACAACGTATACTCAGCACCATCTAAATGAATTGGTTAGTATTTACTTGCTTATCAGTTTTCAGAATTATAGTAAGCATTATTAGCACTGGATTTAATCTCTTAATAAAACTAAGAAATTTTATTATGTTCAGTCTATGTTTTGCCAAGTTTAAATATTTTACATATTAAAATACCAAACAATAATGTTCATAAAACAATTTTTACTTGTTTTACATTTTGTCACACATTGAAATTGGTATTTTAAAATTTTTAAATGAAATCAGTAAAGTACAGTTATATCCTAATATAGAATTGAGGAATTTTTTAAATATAGCAGACTCTTAGATCAGATCTTGCTAGTTTAGCAATTTAAGACTGGCCTCTTGGAAACTGATTCATACTTTAGGCTGCTGGGATACTACGGAGTAAGTAGCTATGATCATTCCAAGTTGTCTCCTTGGACGTGTTTATGTTTCAGTCATACCTAGTGTTTTATTCACAATGTGAATATAGATTCTGATTAGCATAGGAGTAGGGCTTTTCTGTTTTTGTTAGTCTTTTCATATAGCTGGCTCTATTCATATTCTTAGTTTCATTTTGGAAAATTGCATGAATAATATCCTGAAGGTTTGCTTCATCCTTCTCCTCTGGGTTAGACATGAATATCCTCAACACTTTTCAAGGGTTGGATTGGCTTTATAAAAAGCTCCTTTTGGAGTGTCTGTCCCTCCCTGGATCAATACAATATGTCCTTGTATTTGTATAGCACTTCTTTTAGGTTTCTCTTATTCACTGACTCTATTATCTCTCACTCGCATAGAAATGTGGTAGGGAACCAAATAATATTTAGGTCACTGTAAAGATACTGGGAAAATAGAATGAAGGTTTCTGTAAGCACATGCTTTACTGAATGGCACCAAAATGGTTCAAAATATTTTTTGAGTAAAACTTTGATTTCCTTGAATGCAAATTCAAATGAGGACATTTGTTTACTTTTGGTTTAAGAGAAAAACAAATTTTATTTGAAAATATTTCCATGTTTGCAAATAGATAGAATATCTTGATATTCTAGAAATGACAACTAGTGCTTCTCAGTATTAGTGATCTTTAATTGCTATGTCTATTATTAAAAAAAAAAAAGATTAACAGTAGAGTTCTTCTGGGGCAGGGAAGAAAAGCTTATCTAAAACTCCTAAGAACAAAGATGATGAATGGATCTTCAGATAGGAAACAAGGTACAAGCTTACTGGTATTTAAGATAAGTGCCCATTTTGAGCAGTTCCGTTTGCTCTGATTGGTCAGTGATGCTGTCTGTACCAGTTGAATGTCTTAAATACCATCTCTGCTTAGAACATTGACTATAATGGTCACTTTAAAGAAATAAATGCTAAGGTAATTTTCCAATAAGGAAAATTAATACTTTTTTCTGATAACATACTTTTTTCTTTTTACCTATAGAATCAGAACATAATACCTGAAAATTTGCCAGCACCAACAGACAAATATAAACTAAAATATCAGCAATATAAAACTGAAATAAAAGAGGGCTATAAGCAGTATAGTCAGAGAAATACAGAAAATACAAAATCAAATATTACACATCTACAGTCTCCAAGAAACAAGATAGATGAAAAGGTAATGTATGAGGCTTTAAAAAATTCTAATGAAATTGAAAGAAAACTGCACATCTTGCAGAAGTCTTTTTTTTGGGTGATATATCTTGCTATTAGTCATAGTAAGTATAATAGTTAACATTTATTTCCAAGAATCAAGGACTGTCGTAAATATTTTACTTACATTATGTTCTTCATAAGAAATTTAAAGGGTTATTGTTCTCATTTTCTGACACAAAAGTTACAGCCACATAGTTTAGTCATCTTTTCTCTGTTAGAAGTTTTTCACGTACCTTGGGATTAGAAATAATACAGCATTATGTATGTTGTTGATGTAGCTGTCTTGAATTCAGTTGGTCTGACAATCTAAATTCTAAAATTGTTAAGTAGTTTGAGACTTTATAGTGATCCTGTTTTGTGCAAAATCTACCATCACTTCATTACTGTCTTTTGTCTCATTATGGAAAATGTTTTTTTAACATCATGAATTGCTGAAATTGTTATGTTTTTATGTAATATTAATTAGGTATAAGTTCACTATTAATGATTATAATAATAAACATAATTGTAATGGCTTTCATAATCATACAGAAAAAGTCTTGTTTTTGGAAGTAATAATTTAAAAAATACTTTATGATACTACTGGTCATAAAGAGGAGAATATATAGATAGAATTTTTAATTCAGTTAACTTTCTATGAGAATGATGTGTTTTCAGGGAAGTTTTAATGTTGTATTTGCTTAGCATTTTCCTGTAGGTAAAATAATAATAATGATAAATTTATAAGTAGGTATGACATGTCAGCTATTTTTTAAATCTATGTAGGAACTCTCTAGAATTAAATAAATCACATAATGTTTAGGTGAAAGAGTAACAAAATTAATGGGATTATTTGGTCTGTCTTATTTTAAAAACATTTTACCAGACCCACATATCAATATACAAATATCATAATCTGGTGTCTGTAATACTAGGCAAGATAATTTCATAACCTTTTAGCATCTCACCATGTATTGTTTGCAGGAAACACCGAGGGATATTTAGATCACTGTACAGATGTTGGGAAAACAGAATCAAGTTTTCTCTAAGCACATGCTTTACTGAGTGGCAGCAAAATGGTTCCAAATATTTTTTAAATTAAACTTTTATTTCCTTGAATGCAAATTCAAATGAGGTCATGTGTTTACTTTTGGTTTAAGAGAAAAACAAATTTTATTTGCAGGTATTTTAATATAATTGTTAAGTGTATAGTAAGAAAAAAGAGTTTTGTAGAAGTCAATATACACAGAAATTCTTCTGGAAAATATGCTGCTTTGCCTCTTTGATTTTTATATTAAAGGTGTGAAATTATTAAGTTTAACATGTTTTTAGTGGTCTAACAGAAGAACATCTAGTTAAAAAGCATTTCCGTAGATTCTATATGTAATAATTTTGTACTTAAGGGGTTTGAGGAACTTATTTGATGTCTTTTTAAACGTATACCATTATGAGAATCAAAACTGCTATATAAATGCCCTATTAGTAAATTCTATTACAATTACGTGAATTAACACTAGTAATATCTGTAAATAGAAAACATCCCTGATTATCAGAAATATAAGCCCCTCCTTAAAGCAGGGGCCAACATGTAAATTGATTCTCTTTACTGGTAAAGCAAAGCTAAGATTAGATATATTTAGGATCCAGGGCAAGAACTAAAGGCTGTAGTTGCTAACTAATCAGTCCGATACATGAGTCAACTGATAACCAGTTGAACTGCAAAATAGAAGTTTGACTGCTTTATTCTTGTCTTAGTTTATTTTCTGTTGCTATGAAGAAATACCTGAGGCTGGGTAATTTATAAAGAGAGAAGGAGTGTTTAAGAAATATTGAGGAGGACAATGTGGTCAGAGGACAGAGAGCAAGTGAGAGATGGAAAGAGGTTGGTCAGAGAGTTAAAGGGAGATTGGGAGGCAGATTAGGGAGGCCAGACAAGCCATGTAAGGACTTCAAGAATCTGTTGGCTAGAAAGTTGAAGATTGGGTACCTGGTAAGGGCTCCAGGTTGCTTCTACTTATGGCAGAAGGTGAAAGGAAGCCAGCATGTGCAGAGATCACATAGCAAGATAGGAGGCAAGAGAGCACGTGGAGTGCCAGGCTCTTTTGAACAACCAGCACTCTTGGGAAATACTAGAATGAAAACCCAATCACTTCTGAGGGACAGCACTGATTTATTCATGAGAGATTAACTTCCATGACCCAAACACCACTCTAACATTGGGGATTAAATTTCCACATCAAGTTTAGAGGGACAAACATCCAAACCATGGTAAATTTCTTTTGTTGGGTTTTCCTTCCACTTACTGTAAAAAGGTGATAAATCTCTTGTTGTCAGATTGTTTTGTTACCTAAAACACAAACTTATGTGTACTTATATATTTTTAAAATAATGAAACATCTTTAAATTAGACATGAAAATCATTAAACTTCAATTTTGTAGAAAATAATCTTAATTTCCTAATTTTACTAGTTATTATTCATTTCAAACACATTTTTTTTACCTAAGAAAACCTTTTAGTTTTAGAAATGATCGATATAATTTACATTTATTATTTAAACTTTCAACAAATAGTTATTGAATGGTTAATTTTATGCAACATACCTGTCCAGGCACTCCGTATAAATCAGTGAATAAAATAGACATAAACTTCTGCCTCTAAAGAACTTATATTCTAATGGAAGGAAATGGTAAGGAGAAAAGAAAATCAATCAATGGAATAATTAATCCATCAACCCAGCTTGTATGACAGATGGTGAAAAGTGTGGTATATAGAAGGGATCTAGAAAAGTCAGTGCTTTGGGTACAGGGTAGCAATTTGTATAGGATCAACAGTGGAGACTTTTAGATAAGAAAGCATTTTAGCATACACCTGAAGAGCAAGCTAGTCAAGAGAAACTCTGTGTCATGAAGTAGGAGTGTTTAAGAACTAGTGAGGAGGACAGTATGGTCAGAGGAGGGAGAGCAAGGGAGAGATGGAAGGAGGTTGGTCAGAGAGTTAAAGGGAGTTTGGGAGGCAGATCGGGGAGGCCACACAAGCCATGTAAGGACTTTGCTTTTTTCTATGAGGCAGAAAGCTACTTTGTTCTTTTCAGGATGGGCTTTATTGAGAATAGGACAAAGCTGGAAGCAGGAAGCCCTCTGAGGAGGTTGTCACGATAACCCAGGCAAGATTTGATGATGATGGCTTGGACCTAGGTGATGGTAGCTGCAGACTTGGAACTTTATAGTGTCTCACAAAGTCATGTTGTACATAGATTCTGAAACTAGGGCTAAGAAGATTTTTGAATGGATTGGTTGTAGACTTGAGAGAAAGGGAAGACCAAGAATGACTCTACAGGGATGAATGTGCAGGACATTAAACCAGGCACAGAAAGACAAATACTGTATGTTTTCACTTATATGTGGACTCTAAAAAAGTTGAACTCACAGAAGCAGAGAGTAGCATATTGGTTGCCGGGTACTCAGGGGGTTGGGAAAATGGGGACTTGGTCAAAGGATGTGAACTTCCAGTTATAAGATAATAAGTTAGGAGGAACTACTCTATTTGTGGTGATTACAGTTAATCATATTGTATTTTTTCCTAGAAATTTTGTAATAAAGCAGATTTTAAGTGTCTTAATGACACACACAGACAAATACAAATATTAACTACGTGTGGTGATGGATGTATTAATTTGATTGTGATAATTATTACATAATCTATATTTATATCAAATCATTATGTTTTACACATTGAATATTTACAATTTTTATTTTCAATTAAATATTTTATAATAAAAAAGAATGGCTCCAAGGCTTTTGGCCTAAGAAGTTGCCATTAATTGGAGGTAGGGGAAGACTGTAAGCAAATCTGGTTTTGGGAGGTTGAATTTGAAGTATTAAGTGGAAATATCAGTTTTCCTTTTGTAAAAGGTTGAAAACAAGCTGATACAAAATAAAATTATTTCGAAAGTATTTTCGACCTGAACTTAATACAGTGCTTTGCTTATATTTAAATATATGCATTAAATTAATCTGCTTGATTTACCTTATATAATGCTAAGCATCTTTTTTGGTGCCTGTTTAAATAAATCACTATTTAGAAAGAGTATATTAGTGAGCAAATAAATAAAATGATGAGGCATCCTCATAAATTGATTTTTAAATAGTAAATACCCAAGTAAGATTCATTATTTATTTATTGAATAAATTTTTATTGAGTGCTCACTTTGTGTTATCCTGTTCTGCCACCAGGGATACAGCAATAAAAATGACAGACAAGGCTCCTGCTTTCATGGAACTTACATTAGGAGAGGCAGGCAATAAATCCTAATAAATATACAACAAAATTTTATATAGGAGTATGAAGATAGAGTGTAACCTTTCAAGGAAGTTCTAAAGTAAGAATAAGGCCTGGAGGAAGAAATCTTGAAATCTGTTAAGTTTTTGACAAGCTGCTATCCTATTGGAACCTTTCATTTTGTTTTGCTGAGGTAGTGTAAGCACATCTCATAGCCAAAGAAAAAATTGGTGCTTATCTCTTAGCATCCCAAAGAATCCTTTACCTCAAAGATTACACCCATGTTTTAGTATTTTATTTCTGAATTTAATTTTATAATGGAGTAGATGTGCCCACATTTATTAATTGTTCGCAGATTCAAATTGGACAATAATAATAATAGTTGCTAACTTTTATTTAATGATTACTGTATCAAGTAGTTTTGATAAAGTGTTAGCCATGTATTATCTCTTAATGCTTTTTGTTTTTGATGAAGTAGTTCCTATTATTAATTAGCGTTTTATTTATGAGTAAACTGAGGCACAGAGAGGTCATCTAGCTGGAAAATGGAAGAACTGGACTTAAATATAAGCAATCTGATTGTCAGAGCCTGTACTTTTAACTGCTGTACAAATAGTCACTGAGATATACTGTGATTATCTCTTCCCATATTTTGTTTAAAGCAAACATTCTAAATATGTATATGTTGGTTCATTTATTTCTTTCATGCATAGTGTGTGCAACGTGAAGAAGCCAACACAGCTGACATTACAACTCTGGATAGGAAAGCCCTCTTACAGCAAGGTTATGCAGACAATTCTTGTGATACACAACAGAGGGCAAGAAAATTGTACGCAGTAAGTTGTGAGCATTTTTACTCATTTGTTGAGCCATTAATCTAATTTGCTTTCGAAGATTTTAAAGATTTTAAATGGAATAAATAATTGCAACAATTGAGTTTGGACTCAGGTGAATATTCATTAATGAAAAATTGAATCTTCATTTTTATAAATGATTGGTGTTTGATATACATTCTGTGGAAAAATTGTCTTCAATCTTTAGTTGTTTGAAAAATTTAGTTTATACTGTTCAAAATGTGAATTGGCTGCTATTTATGTTAGTGAGTTTATTTTGTGTCACCCCCTCTTCCCCCAAAAGCAGCCTGGTTATTTTTTGAATAATGAGCTACTAACATAAATTCAGGCCAGTGAAGGAAATTCCAGAAATAAGTTATTTTTCTTTTTTAGGAAAAGTGAAACAAAACTCCAGATGCTCAGTATTAACTTTAAATTATGTATTTTACAAAATCAGTTAGGTTGATGAGTATTGTTTAGACCAGTTGGGACAAATAGATAATTAAAACATTTCTGAAATGTTCTGGGGTAAGGGGACCAAGCTGCTTGGAATTGGAGCTCACTGGCCACACCAGACACTCAAGTGATTAATGTTATAGGCATACTTAAAACAGATTGATGGAATGCCAGTGTGGTAGCTAATTTGGGACAACTCTGGTTTCGATAGCATAAATAGTAACAAAGCAATATGGATCTAGTTAGTTACATTATTATTATCATTGAATGGAGATTCAATATATATTTTATCTGGGTCACAGTCATACAGAATAAATTATGTTCTGAATTAACAGCAATGTATAATTAATCTCTGGACTAGGTGAACTGATTTTCTGTGGATGTCCCAAGTTGCAAATCTGTGAGTTGTTTTACTTAAATCACATGCATATTATTTTTTTCATGCCTATTATTATTTGGATATTTATGCTTAATAGAATAAGTGTTATCAGGATTATCCTAAAAATTAAAATAGCTACTTTATAAGGAAAAATAGTGTCCCAAATAAACCTTATTTTGATATATCCCTGAAGTTATATTTGAAATGCATATTACAATAATTAAGGCTCACTGAGTATTGTTCTTGATATAATTGAAAGCAATCTGGATATTAATAGATTTCTTTTTCTTTCTTTTCATTATAACTACATTATTAGCAGCAATGTATTTAAATTCATTTTCAAATTTTATTTTATTTTGGTAGTACTCATTTAACTGTCTCCTCTTCCGGCTAAGGAAACATTTATATGAGTAAGCTTTCAAGCATCTGAAATTAGCACCAATTTGTTTAGAAAATGTAGGTGGAAACTTCTTTATTTAATTTTAAACTACTTAAATGACAATAAAAGCAGTGAAACTATGGTTTTTTATGCCCATCTCATCCAGTTTTTTGTCATTATAACGTTGATAGATCCTTGTATCAGTGTCACTTCTGCTTCTAATCTGCTTTACGTTTACACAGATATCTAAATCAATGTGCCTATGGGTGATTGTAACCTTTCCTACAAAGTAAAAGCCACCCTAATCTTCAACACTCAAGATGGGCTTTCTGCATGGCTCTGGGGTATTAATTAATCTCCCCTCTTTGGCTTGTGTCTGGGTTTTGCATCTATGTTCTGGCCGATGTAGATCTTTGCTGTGTATAATTTTAATGTTTCAGTCAATGTCCACTTTATGAATCACTCTTACATATTAAAAAATACACCTTGCTTTACTTGTAGGTTGTGCTAATTTTTAAACATTTTAATTGCTGTTTTAAGTTTATTGCTAAATAAAAATCTTATAAAGTGTCATGAGCTTAAAGAGTGACACAAGATGTATTAAATAGCATAAACTTTATATAGGACATACATAAATGCATAAACTATGCATCTTGAATTTCTACCAAACAAAAAACCTAAATTTAGTATAGGCTAAATAACATTTAAATAATGTTAACAAATAATAATGTTTAATAATAATTTAGCGTAGGCTAAATAACACTTTTATTTATCCTACATTAAATTTAGTTTTAACATTATTATTAAATTTTATTTCAACATTATTATTAAAACTAAATTTAAGGCTGGGTGCAGTGGCCCTGATACCTATAATCTTAGCACTTTGTGAGGCCAAGGCTGGTGTATCACTTGAAACCAAGAGCAGTCTGGCCAACATGGTGAAACCGCGTCTCTACTAAAAATACAAAAGTTAGCTGTCCGTGGTGGCATACACCTGTAGTCCCAGCTACTTGGGAGGCTGAGGCATGAGAATTGCTTGAATCCTGGAGGCAGAGGTTGCAGTGAGCCAGGGTGGCGCCACTGCACACCCGCCTGGGTGACATAGCAAGACCGTGTCTCAAAAAAACCCCCCAAAAACGAAATTGATAACATTTAAATAATTGTGCCCAACTTTTCCAATTTTCTTACAAGTTTTTACATTTGTTTTATGATGTCTTTAGACATTCTTATTTGATATTTTGTCTCAGTTTTAAGTAAAACGCTTTTCCTAAGGTTAGAAAGCCTCGATCTTAATTTCATTTATTGGCGTGATCAATGGGGATGACAGTAATTTAAATTCTAAAAACAGAACAAACTTTATTTTGACTTCTTAACTTTCTAACCTCTTTTATTTGCCCCTTTAAAGATACACTTTAGTTATTGTAGCTGCATGATAATCTAATTGAAATTGAATGATTACCAATATTTTAATTAGACATGACCTAAAAAAAATAGTAAAACTAGTTTCAGATGATTTGGAAAAGTGAAAAATAGTATGAAGAAAGCTTAATCAAGCTAGTAATTGAGAAAAGTTTATTAAATATTATTGATGCATTATATGCAAAGAAAATATACTTTTGATGAGAGTTTTTGCTTTGTTTTTCCTTTTTATTTTTGATGAAAGGTATTAAAATTCAAACTCAGCTTTGCCTTCTTTTGCTGTGAATAGTGTTAGACTAAACTTATTTTTTGTCAGTGTTGGTAGTCTTCTTGCAGAAGGTTAAGATGCCTTTTGCAGGGAGGAATAGAGTGGAAGGATGCCATAGTCTCTTCCTCCTTTAGTGTGTTCCGTTAAATGCAAAGGCAGCTCATAAAAATTCTGATGATTTTTACTGAAATTCAAGTGCATTACTTTTTATAAGATAAATGATATTTATAGATTAAATGATAGAAATTTAAATATATTAATGATGGAAAGTAATCTATAATCTTTAATAGAAACCTATTTTCATCTGTATTTACGATGGAAATCAGAGATATTTAATTTGTGTTTTAGGACTTTTGTGTTAGGTACTGTATGGTTCTGCTTTATGGATGGTGAAATTGTCTTCATTTAATCTTCCCAGGAAACTGTGGCTGCAGAGAAGAAGAAACAGACTGTTGCAGAACAAGTGATGATAGACCATTTATCTAGGTGAGAATTAGCAACTAGTAATAGAAACCAATTCAGAAAGCTTTCATTAAATTTCTTTTCATGCGTGACACTCATATCCTTGGTCAATTAAAGGGTGGCTAACTGAGAGGTTCCCAAATTTTCTCTGTTCACTGCACTGTTAGTGTTTTAGTAATTTTTTCACAGCACTTTTAAACTAATAGAAATACCTAACAGTTCTATTTTTTAAGTATTTTTGTCTAAACAACTTAAGAAGTATTTATTTCCTAACAACAAATGACCATTAAAAATACACATAAATTAAAAGAAGGTATCTTTACTTTATTCTTACTAAGGATCTGTACGCATTTTTTGGGCACTGTACAGTCTCTCAAATCCTAGAGTTGTTTATTATGCTGCCACTTTCACTTTATATTCCATATTGATTTTCACCTGATATTTTCTTTTTATCATAGCAACTATAGAAAACTCAGCTCTGCAAAGATGTAACATAATTGAAGGAGTATAGTGTGCTGTCTTGTTGAAACTGTAAACTACCCTGAGGCTGAACTAGTAGTTTACCTGGTGTGCAAGTTATGTCAAGTATCATTGAGTTTCCCTCAAAAATTAAAAATATCCCACAGTGCTCCTGTGAGTTCACTGTGGTACCTCAGGGTGCCTTGGTGCAGCTTGAGAACTGTGAGACTGTTAAGAATTTAAAAACCCCTTAGAAAACTAAAGTTGTAACATATGCAGTGCTGAATTGCATGATAGTGTGGCAATATGGTAGAATTTCGGAAAAGGCTGGAATAATCTACTTAAAGGAAAAAGTAAGACTTAGCTTTGAAAAAACTATTTAGTTATGAGCAGAAAGAATGAATGACAGAAAGAATGATGCATGTTTTCAGTAAATTCTTTGAAAGAAGTATATCTAGAGTCGCCCATGTCCCTTTTCCCGTTAACTTAGCGTTTTCACCATCACCATGCCTCCAACAACTTTTTTTCCATAAGTGGTGTGACATCCATATTGCCAGACTAATGATTTCTCAGTTTACATTCACTTGACCCATCTGCAGCAGCTGTCTTATTTGAAACTTTCTTGTCTTTGAAGCAATGTTTTTTTTTGTTGTTTGTTTGTTTTTTTTTCCTGCATGGCTTCCTGCACGAGATACTTGACTGTTCTCCTTCCACCTTCCTCTCTTTCTTAGAATGTCTCCTGGTTCTTCTTCGTCCTCCCAGTCTTTAAACGTGGGTGTGCCCAAGGGTTCAGTTCTTGAAACTCTTCTGTATTTGCTTTCTAAGCTATCTCGTCCAGTATCATGACTTTAAGAACCACCTATGTGCTGGTGGTTCTTCTCTAAGAATCTGATGCTTCTCTAAGATTTCAATTTAACTTTCTCCAATCTGGGTTTCTGAAATTTTATTGCCCTCTCTCCCTCTATGACCAAATCTTCCATTTTATTCCATGGCAACCCAATTCTTCATGCTATTAAGACCTAAAATGCCGGTGATGCTTTTGATCCCCCTCTTTCTCTCAAATACTAAATCTAGCTTGTTAGCAAACATTCCCAGTCCTACTATCAACATAGATTTACTTGCTTTGCTGCCATTATTCTGTTCAAACTTACCTTGTGTCTCCTGGATTATTTCAGGTACTACTTAACTGGTCTCATTGTTTCTGGATTTACCCCTTACTGGTTTATTTTCAACCCAGCACCCCACAGTTAATCTATTAAAAGGCAAGCCAGATAAAACCCTCCAGGAATTTCTCATTTCAATCATAGTGAAACCTGTAAGACCTAAGTATGAATTATATGTCACCACAAAACTCAGTAGCTTAGGCTAGGTGTGTGGTGGCTCACGCCTGTAATCCCAGCAATTTGGGAGGCTGAGGCGGGTGGATCATCTGAGGTTAGGAGTTCAAGACCAGCTTGACCAACATGGAGAAACCCCGACTCTACTAAAAATACAAAATTAGCCAGGTGTGGTGGCAGGCACCTGTACTTCTGGCTACTTGAGAGGCTGAGGCAAGAGAATCGCTTGAACCTGGGAGGCGGAGGTTGTGGTGAGCCGAAATTAT